GTTGTAATGTGACAAAATATGGAAAAGTTCAAGGGGTATGAATACTTTTGCAAACCACTGTATGGTTTGATTTCTTTGTATGTATGGATCACTTGGGTTGTTACCGACATCTGGTGAAAATTTCATGTCATTAGTACCTCTAGTAATATATTTACTGAGAAAAATGTTGACGTGTTCAATACTTATTTTACCCGCTACATCCAGACTTACAGATCTGGAAAGGCACCATCAATACTGAATGATAATTCAGGTTTTAAAACAACATAATCCCATCGAGATTACATTTTTTCAAGGAAGTCATATATTTTAACAAMACAATACTAAACCATATATTGCATCCACAACAACAGCAGGGCATCATAGTGGAAGAGTCCGGMTGCTGAATTGGTGCTGCCTGCTGTGCAGACATCTCACCAAATTAGAACATTTGATGCATCGTGAAACAAAAAATGAACCACGTCAGACCCAGGACTGTTGAACAAGTAAAATCCTACTTCAGACAGCACAGGACAATATTTCCCTCAAAAACCTCCAGCAGCTGGTCTCTTCAGTTCCTAAGCATTTTTCTAAAAACAGTTGAATCTATTTGATTAAATATATGTTTACTACAGTATTTTCCATTGGAATAAAAACATGTTTGTGAGATTTGCAAATGATTGCATCCTTTTTGAAAATTTCCGTTTCAAAGTCCCATTTTTTAAAGCTGGAGTTGCAGTTTTCATCCAGGCCAGACATCTTTTCTGTGTCAAATCTAACAAGTCATATGCCACTGTTGTGACCTTTGTCTCAGACTGTTGTCTGCAAAACACATAGTCAACAACTTGTGGGTCAGACAGTCAAAACAGCCCAAGTCTTCTCCATCATACCAGATAAGCACACGTAACATAAGAAATGTAGTCAGTCAGATTAGACTACGTGTTTACTGTCCATCTTACGTGCTCAACTTATCTGTGCTGATAGAGATTCAGAGAATTGGATGTGTGTACCACTCCCACCGTCCAGACTGAATGGTGACTCACTGCTTGGCTTTCATGCAAACATTTAAAAGCCCAGAGCTGTCAGATGTCACTTGTTCAGTTTCAGTCCAAATTCCAAGCTAAGTGGTTGAAGAGATTTCCAACAGCTTTGCCCCCCCCCACCCCCAATCTACTGCTTTTATGCAAATGGAGGTAGCTGATGGATCAAAGTGAAGACTCAAACAACCATGTAAAAATTGCTTTTCGAGCTGTTTTCACGTAGGCTCAGTTATTTACTGTATCATCTCTATTTCTCAGCTGGTAAATGTTTGTGTTTTTTGAGTTGGTTTGAGAGAGGAGTAAAAGAAGTCATTTTTGTGTAGAAAGACCGTTCATCATTAAACAGAGGTGGAGGCCTCCGTTTTCAGTTGTCCCCCTCCTACAGCGCGGCCATTGCCAGTATCACTCCACCCCCTGTTAACAATAAGTGTTAATTAGGTGTCAACGATAGCCATGTGATGTGAGTATCAATCACACGGAGGCTGGGCTTTAGTATTGGTATTGGTAATTGGGGATGGGTACAACCCAGGTGAGCGGGGGCCTCATAAGTGGGCCCATTGCTC